AGGACGTCATCCTCGTCCTTACCTCCAACGGCACGAACTTCAAGCGGCACGCGGAAACACTGATTCCGCCACATGTCCCTCTGAAGAGACTTCGCGTCTGCGGGCTGGAGCAGGTGCGCGGATTCGGCGCAGAGGTTGCCTCAGGTACAACTGTGGACCCGTTGCTCGCAGAGGCTGGCATTGTCGGGGCGGTGGTGGAGGCCTTCACGGCCACAGCACCAAGCCCTATCGGTTTGTGCGCCCCAGCAGCTCGTGCTGCACAAATCCTCCCCGCCATCCTTGCGTATCCCTCCTCCCAAAGGTGCGATTCTACTCGAGTGCACCGAGCTGCCAGGTGGAGGGTGGCCCGGGGAGGGGGGGAGGGGGCTGTGCGGAGGGGCGCCGGGTGGAGGGCAGCCGGTGGCAGAGGGCGTGGTTGGCGGCAGCGGCGGCGAGAGCGCGGCTGGTCGGTGCCTGGCGAGGCTCTGGGCAGCCACATGGCACGCGCGGGATCGATGGGCTTGGGCGCTGTGAAGTCAACTGCCGAGCAAGTGTCTGTGAAGAGTTCCATGATCGGAAGCGTCTCGGAAGCGTCTCGGAAGCGTCTCGGAAGCGTCTCGGAAGCGTCAGTGCCACCTGCCGCGCGAGCAGGTCGAGGTCGGTGGTGATCTCGTCGAGGAGGAGGACGGACGAGGGCTTGAGCAGCTTGCACAGGATCTGCACGCGCCGCCGCTGCCCGTCCGAGACTGTCGTCAGGTTCCAACTCGAGTCCACCTCGAGCAGCGAGACCAGCCGCTGCACTCGCGTCGCGTCGACGCCGACAGAGTGCGACTCGATGAGGCGCGAGACCTCCATCGCCTGGTAGGGGACGTTGTGCCCCACAAAGGCGACCGTGTGCGTCCAGTTTCCGGTCAGCAGCGCCAGCTCCGTTGCGAGGGACGTGTCGTGGAAGGCGGGCCGGCCGAGCACGCGCGCCATGCCCTCCTCGACCATGTGCTTGCCTCCGAGCACCGAGAGGAGCGTCGACTTGCCCGCGCCGTTGGCGCCGAGGAGGAGGGTGCGCGAGCCGGCGGGCAGGGAGAAGCTCACGTCCTGCAGCGAGGGTGGAGGAGGGCTCGGCGGTGTGCGGCAATGTGGCGAAGGCGGCGATAACGGCGGTGGTGAGAGAGGTGAAGGGCTCTGGTACGGCCGCGTGCTCGAGAGCGGCGGGCTAGATGGCCAAGGCGCCTCGAGCTGCAGTTTGTACGCTGCCCGCGTGCCCGACAGGTGCTGCTGACGGGGCATATCCATGGAGAGGCCGCCGTCGTGCGTGCCGTGCGCTTGGGTGCCCTTCTTGGCGGCGGCCTTTGTCACGTCATCACCGACGAACTTGGCGGTGGTGGAGATGTTCTCGGCGACCTCGTACGAGAACCAGAGGTTCTGGCAGGAGAGCGCGGAGAGCGCGGGGGCAGCCATCGTTCCCTTTCGCTTCGCTTGCCTGTGGCCTTCTTGGAACCTTCCGCATGCGACCAAAGAAAAAATCTGCGGGCTGTGCCGTTCCCGTGCTCTCCCATCCCCGAAAATCCCCAAACGCAAAAGACAAGAGAGACCCGTGCTCCCCCTTTGCTCCCCTCCCCCTCCCGTGTAGCGTGTTATGAACACCCTGCGCCTGCGCACCCCCCCCCAGGTTCAGGGCTCTCTTGCCCGCAGCCCGATGCCAGTTGTCCGGCGGCCCGCTGGCGAGAGGCGGCTTCTTAGGTCCCCCCGGCCCTGTCGACTGTCGTGGGCGTGCGGTTAAAATGAGAGCGCACCCTCGAGAGCGCACCGTCCAAGACCAAGTGCTCAAGTGCTCCAAGTGCTCCGAACCCCCAAACTCACACGTCATTTGAGGTGTGCCCCGAGCCACTGCCGCCCCCCGTGCTCCGAGATGCTCTCGGCAGTGGGCGCGGCCGTCCCAATCCCAGCTGCGGGGATCGAATGCGTACTGGTGGTGCCACAGCACGGGGGATCCGCGGCCACAAACCCCTCCATGATTTCGGCGACGAAAGGGAAATCGCCCGGGTGCGAGTGGAGGCCAAACTTTGCGCCGAGCAGTGTGAGTGTGCGCAGCCACTGCCGCCGCCTCGGCAAGGTCCCGCCGCGCTCGACGAGCTCGTCCCGCCGTGACACCGCGAGCATGCGGAGCCGGCTGCGCTCCTCGGAGCCGCGAGTGAGCATCGCCGCGTGAAAGCTGAGGTGGACAAAGGAGGTGCTCAGCTGGGGGCGCGGGAGGCGGGAGGCATTTCGTGGGCGTGCCATTGGCGAGACCTGTGGCGTGTGGTGGGTGGAGAGGGCGGCGGAGGTGGAGGCGGGGGGGTGGAGGGTGGCGGTGGTGCGGCGGGCGAGATGGTGCCTACCGTCCCATCTCGTGGCGGTGCACTGGACGCATTGGACGCGAAAACGGCATGGTCTGTGAGCTGTTCACGGTGATGAAGGTGGTGTACGTGAGGCAAAGGCACAGGCCGCCGCACGTAAGCAGATCACAGTCGGCCATCGACGCACCGCGCATGGCGCCGGCTTTCCCACCTCGTAAAAGTCGACGGGGAGACGACCGACTGACTCTACCCATGCTTCGAGGTCTGTGAGCTGTTTGGAACCGCGTCCTCGCAAAGCTCCGTCGCAGGCCCCGACGGCCTCCATCATCCCATCAAAGTCCCATCCCATGAGATGATCATCTCGTGAGTACGGCACACCAGCATCCGGAGAGCAGCTGGGCCTTCGGCCGCCAGGTCGTAGGGGCCCTTGAGAGGCAGCCGTGTGCGGACGTGCTGAAGCAGCGCGGACGTTGACCTTGGCCAGCTGGCAGTGCACCCGTCGCCGCTTGCTCTCCTCGAGCCTCTCGTTGAGCTGTCGCCGCCGCTGCGTCTCGAGCTTTCGCTCTCGCGCCGCGGCAGCCTCTTGGTCGAGTTGCCGCTCCTGTTCCTCTCGGATCTGCCGGAAGCGCTCTGCTAACTCCTCTGGCAACGCGTCGCCAGCGCCGTCCATCTCCTCGGCGGGGAAGTCGTCCTCGCTGGCGTCCTCCTCCTCCTCGGCCGGGAAGTCGTCTCGCTCTCTGACATCGCTCTGACACCGCTCAGCGACGGGCAGCGACGGGCGCAATAGTACTCTGCAGCGGCGCGGGAACTGCGGGTGAGGCCAAGCCCAAGGGGCGGTGCCCTCCTGCAACACAACCACATCCATTGGATCCTCCATTCAACAGCCTCGTCATGCCGCCCGCCAAGAAGACGCCCGCCAAGAAGTCCGCCAAGAAGCCCTCGGGCGGCGAGAAGAAGCGCAAGAAGAAGCGGGTCGAGTCGTACTCGTCCTACATCTACAAGGTGCTCAAGCAGGTGCACCCCGACACTGGCATCTCCTCCAAGGCCATGTCCATCATGAACTCGTTCATCAACGACGCGTTCGAGCGCATCGCCGTCGAGGCGGGCAAGCTCGTGCGCTACAACAAGAAGGGCACCCTCTCGTCACGCGAGATCCAGACCGCCGTGCGCCTCATCCTCCCCGGCGAGCTCGCCAAGCACGCCGTCTCGGAGGGCACCAAGGCCGTCACCAAGTACACGTCGAACGCCTAAGGGCTAAGCGGACGCCCACCCACCCTCGGTGTTTCTAAACACCACCCTCTCTTGAAGAAAGATGGTAGAAGCTGCCCGAGCCATTTCACTAACACTATGCGCCGTCGCCCACCCTAGGGAGTCTGCCTCTTCCTATCTCTTTTTGTGTGACTAAAGAAAGAAAGAAAACAGACAACCCAAGGGAGGGATGGGAGGAAGGCACGCCGCCACCACACAGGGATTTTAGGAGAGGTGTGTGGTGCGCTAGCCGTCGCCCACCCTAGGGAGTCTGCCTCTTGTGTGACTGGATTGCTTCCGACGCGTTTTTCTTTCTTCAACCGCTGCAGTAGCACGCGGGACAGGCAGCCGGGCAAGGCGCGGGGAAGCGATGCAGCAGGCCAGCCCGTACTTCGAGGCTGGTGGCGAGGCGAACCTCCCCACCCCGGCGCCACCGCTGGAGGCGGCGCCGCTGGAGGACGTTGAGGCGGCGTCCGTGCCGATCGAGGCGGCTCCGCTTGCTGTCAAGACGACGCCGGTGGTTGAGGCGCCGCTCGAGGCGACTGCAGTCGAGGCGATCAGCGACAGTGAGTGCGCGGGAGACGAGGTGGTCGCCGTTATGGAGGAGAACAGCGGGGAGACCGCGGTTGAGCCGTTCCGTCGGGCTGGCTCGGAGGGGCAGAGCTCGGGCGCGGCGCACCGTTGCGCAGAGTGCGGCCGGGCCTTTGACTCGCTCCACGGCCTCAAGGTGCATCGCGGTCGCCACTGCAGCAGGACGGCCAAGCCACCGCCGCCGCCGCCGCCCGTGCCCAACGCGCGCGGCTTGTACGAGTGCGGCGACTGCGGCAGCGCGTTTGACAAACCGCACGGGCTCGCGATTCACCGCGGCCGACACTGCGCCAAGGAGGCGAGGCCGCCGAAGCCCGCCAAGCCGGCGCCGCCCCCGCCGAACGCCGCCGGCCTCTTCGAGTGCGTCGACTGCGGCTCCGCCTTCGAGAGGCTGCACGGGCTGACGATCCACCGAGCGAGGCACCTCCTGGACACTTCCTAGACACTTCCTAGTTTCTTCCTAGACACTTCCTAGACACTTCCTAGACACTTCCTAGACACTTCCTAGACACTTCCTAGACACTTCCTCGACAGGGCTGAAGATCGACCGGGCGAGGCACTCACTCTCACCGACACAACTCCCACCGACACGACACACAAGCAGCGCGCACTCTTCTCCCCCCTCTCGCACACACGCACACACACACGCACACGCGCACACGCGCACACCACCGCTCACCCGCGCGCACCGGGCCGTTGCACTCTGCATGCCGTGTCGCTCCCGTCTCAGAGCGTGGAGATGCGAGGGGCAGCCCGAGCCCTCGCCTCACAAGAGCGTGCGGAGACGTGCTCCCTCGCCTCACCCCTCCTCACCCCTCCTCACCCCTCCTCGCCTCACCCCACCTCGCCTCACCCCCACCTCGCCTCAGGCACTGCTCCGCCGTGCGCGGCGAGGCGCGCGAGGGCGGAGCTGAGCGCAAGGTGCGGCGGCGCTCAGCGCTGGTGCTGCGAGACTCGATCCAGCCGCCGCCGGCGCCGCCGCCGGCTTGCCGCTGCGGCGTGCCCGCGGTATGGGAGCGGCAGCGCTACTGGTGCGCGGCCGCAGACGGGCAGGGCTGCGGGTACGAGGCGCGCGATGACGCACGCACGACGCACGCACGCACGCACGCACGCACACGCGCACACGCACGCACAATCACGCGCGCACCCGCTGCACCGGACTGTGCACTCGAGATGCCGTGGCGGCCCTTGCCTTAGGAAAGACGTTGAGGGGGGGAGGGGGGAGTCTTGCCCTTGTCCCACACACACCCCGTGCGAAGACGCGTGCGCCGCACCTCTTCGCAGGCTCGCGTGCCTCCGCCGCCGCACGCGCAGTCGCCGCTCTGCGACTGCCGACAGCTAGCCGCGTGGGACCGCCGTTTCTGGTGGTGCGCGGTCTCAGGCGGCGGGGCGGGCGGCGGGGCGGCCGGGTGCAGCTTCATGGTCCGGGCGAGGCCGCCGCAAGAGCAGCCCCCGGCCGGCCTCCCCTCCTCCGTGGCCCAGGCCACCGTGCAAGGGGAGGGCGGAGGGCAAGGAGGGGGGGCCGCAGGGCACCCACCGCCGCTTGCCGACGAAGGGCCACCGCCACCGGCCGACGAGGGGCCACCGCCGCCACCGCCGCCGGCCGCCGGAGGGCCACCGCCGCCGGCTGAACCGGACCAGCACGGCGCGCGCAGCACCGCGGGGGAGAGCGGCGCGGCGGAGAGGGTGGACTCGCCCTCAGCCTCCGGCGGCGGCACGTCCGGCGATCCGCAAGCGCCGCTGGCGCTGCCGGAGGAGCTCATCGAGGACGTGGACTGAGTATATCACCATGATTCGTCACACATTGTTGTCACACATTGTTGAGAGCATGCAGGAGGTTCCGGAAGATTCCTGTGGTCCAGGGTGCTGCGACTGTGTAACAAAACACAGATAGACGACCGTACGCACGTCTCGTCGTATCTCGTAAAAAATCCCCCCTCCCCCCCCCCCCCCCCCCGCACGGCCGCACGCGGCACGGCCCACGGCCACGCCCCGCAACTTGCCCCGCAGCGGCGTGTCAGTGCACAGTGGGCTTCGAGCCTCCGCAACCCAATGTCTAGCGAGATTCCCTGCGAGCGCGGCAGGCGGGACCTCAGTCTGGTGACACTGTGCCAGCCGAGCTGCCTTTTTCAGTGTATCTTGTATGTATAGCTCTTACGAACATACCCGAGGGTGAACTGCTGACAGGGTTTTTGCGATGAGAATTTTTGGGCCTGAGGGAAAGAAGAAGGATGCCCCCAGTGGGGCTGCTGGTGGCGGGCGCGTGCCCACGTACCGTTGCCCCAATGTCGATTTCCGGAAAGAAAAAATCTCATTGGTAGCTCGGTCCTGGGTGTTAAACACGAATCCTCGTAGTGACTATACATCCGAGAGAGAGAGCGCGTAGGGCCCTTAGGGGCCTAGAGAACACAACCCCCTCTCCCTTTTCTCCCAGTAAGCTAAAAGTACGTACGTACATCCGAACCACGGGACACCCTTGGCACGCACTGCCGGCGCCCGGGGAGCCGTCGGCGCGGCGGCGGAAGGAGTCGAGGAAGTTCCAGGCCTGAGTGGCCTGCGGCCGCCGGTTCGTCTGCCGGTCTGGAAGGAACTTCGGCTCGGCGCGCCGCACGCTTCTTGTGCCGCTCTGCGCGAGCGCGTCCATGCGCGGCGTTATCTGGCTGGACGGTAGTTGTCCACGAGACGATGAAGAGCACGTTTTTTGCCTAGGCTGGTGGAGCTGTCGCGAGAGGTGTGATCGCGAGCAGCGTGATCATGCTGAGAAGCTGAGCTGGGACCTCCGTAAGGCCGAGCTGGACGGACGATTGCAATGATGCTACAGCGGGGCGGCCGCCCTCTCCATGTAGGTTTGCCGCTCAACGGGCGTCAAGCCGTCCAACTCGTAGAAAGGAACGCTGATCACCCTCCAGCCAGCCGCCGCGAGGAGGCGCCGCTTGAGCAGCGTTGGCCCGTTGGGCTTGCGCACGCCCCGGTCGTCGGGCAGGAGAAAGTGAAAGGGGCCATCCACCTCAATCGCGACGCGTGACGAGGGCAGCGCCAGGTCGAGCGAGTAGCCGGTGCGCGGCTCGAAATACTCCTCCTCGAACCGAGGCTTGACGGTGGCGAGGGAATCCGCGACGGAGCGCTGCAAGCGTGAGATCGTAACTAGCGTACCTTGCATGGCGTCACAGCAGAGCTGGCGCTGGGACTCGGAGAGGAGGTGCTGCTGCGCGTCTGCCCCTCGCTCAAGAGAGAGCCAGAGCTGCCACTGGTGCAGCTGATGGCGGGATTTGATGCTCCACCTCATCGGATCCCGCGCAAGCGAATCGCTGATCACGCGCGAGCAATCCGCAAGTAGGACCTGGTGGTAGTGGCCCGCAGTCGCATACGCCCACACCGTGTTGGCCAGGTCCCGAGGGCTGAATCCAGCCAGCCCACTGCGCACCGCCGCCTCTGCCACCGCCGCATACAGCGCGTCCGCAGCCACGCCCGCCGTCGCATACGCCCACACCGTGTTGGCCACGCCTCGCGCGTCCCACGCACGCCCCGCGCCCCGCGCCCCCCCACGCCCCTCACCTTGCGCCTCACGCCTCCCTCCCCACCCTCTCAGGCACTTCTCCTCCCCGCTACTCGCCGACTCCTCCTCCCCCCGCATGACCGACGACTACCCGTCCTTCGGCGACTCCTCCCTCCTCGGCGCCAACGTCTACTACCGGGGGACCATCGCCCTCGGGCGTACTGGAATGATCCCAGCGGCACACGTCTACGAGGGGGGACTCCGAACCGGCCGCACATGCCTGGCATGTCGGCTAACTAGGTACCTCAGGTAGGTCATAGACCTTCCCGAACCCCGCATGTCCGCATCGGGGGAGGGCGGCTCGTAACTGAGGTTCGCCGTCAGAGACAGTCGTCCTCCCCTACTCGGCCATTCCAACGGCCAGGCCGCTCGCTTAAGGCTGATTGGCTAGACGAGCGGTCTACCTCCAACGGGGCGGTCCGGGAACGCGTGGAACCTGCCCACCTCGGTGGGAGGTGGTTTGGCGCCGACGGACCGCCCCCTCCCACCACCCTCGCCCAGGGATCTACAACGCTGTCTCAAGGTCCGACCTGTGGGCTCCGGCCTGCGCTCGGCACCGGGCACCGCCTCGGTATACAAAATGCGCCTGCGGGCGGACCCTCACAGATCACAGATCACACATCCCCACATGAACACATATGTACATGAGAGGTCAGCGGCGCGCAGTGCCTCTCTCTCAGGCTGATTTTGGCTGTTTTAGAGTTTGTTTTTGTTTTCAGACTAGGGGGGCCGACCCCCTCAGAGGCGGCGGGCGGGCGCCCACTCACCGAGAGATCAAAAACGCTCGGCCCGAGATTCTTTCGAGTTCATCGTTGATTCGTCGTGTGGTTGTATACCTTGTATTAATAATAATTATCGGCCGACTTCTTTTTCGCACGACACTGGGCACGGGACTGGCGCGCACTGGCACTAACACGACAAGACCTTGGTCGAGAGGTACTTTCCGACGCACTTCTTCTCGGCGTTGAAGCGCACGCCCTTGGCGAGGCGGCCGACCCGCCAACAACAATCGCTCGCTGCCGGTGGGAAGGTGGTGGTTCGGTGGAAAGGAGCAGCAGACGATGATCGATGTCGGCGAATGTGTCCAGACGGCTTGACGACAATGACGAGGCAGTTTGGGATAGTCGACGGAGGGTTATGCGTTGACGGATCGCTCTCCGGCTGACCCGCCATGTCCGGCAGGTGCCTCGTGAGGCACCGAGTGCCCGTCGATGACGACGACCCCGCCGCCCACGACCAGAGTCTCGGACTTACACGCGGCAGCTGCGTCTATGTTGCGCTGCGGCTGGCGCAGTGAGTGGGCAGGAGGCACTGTGTGAGCGGGACGTCACAGCCGAGCGGGTGGCGCCAGAAGCGCTCGCGGTCGAGTCGGAAGAGGCACAGCGGGCAGTTGATCGGAAGGCGGTGCCCGCAGCAGATCTTCGCGAACGTAATGACGATGCCGTTGCGCAGCACGAGCGTGAGGCCGACGAGGAGGAGCAAACCACCCGGCGCAGTCGCGCCATGCTGCACGAGCAGGTTGTAGCCGAACCCAGCGACGAATGCTCCGCCGGCCAGCGGCAGCACCTCGAGCAGGACGATGTTCACGACCAGCGCACCGCAGGCAACGGGCGTTCGGACCGGCAGCAGGGCGCCGTCGCCGGCCTGCTGCTGCCGCTGCTGCCGCTCCTCATTCCTTCGCTCATCGCACCATCGGCTCATCGCACCATCAGGGTCAAGCGCGAAAGAATTCGAGCCGAGCCTGCCGGCTGTTGAACCCATCCCTCCCTTGGGTTGTCTGTTTTCTTTCTTTCTTTTCAGAGAAACGGAAGAATCGAAAAGAACGCAACTGCCACTGGGACCGCGAAAAGTCTTATTTCTTTCTTTCTTTCGCTCGTGGCCTGCCAGAAGCAGCGTATCTCAGTCAGTCGTTCTTCACACGGCCATCGCAGAGCAGATTGATGATTGTGAATGAGCTTGCCTGCGGCGAGGGCGGTCGAGTGCACGGAGCTAAGTGCCTCGCCGTCCTCGCAGGAGTCTCTTATAGGCGGCTCCCTTGCGCCTTCGAGGTTTTTTGTTTTGCGCCTTGGTGTACCTGTGTTAGTGCCAGTGCGCGCCAGTCCCGTGCCGAGTGTAATAGATAAATAAAACGGACATCCCAAGCTAGGGCTGGGTCGAGGACAGACACGTCCCCACCTTTGCAGGATTTTGCAAAAGCGAGAGATTTAAAAAAAAGCGGGGGGGGAGGGCGCATCGCCGCGCGGAGAGGGCTGGGCACCGTGCGGAGTAAAAAGAAAGAAAGAAAATCGACAACCCAAACGAGGGATAGGGGAGGAGGACAGGGTCCGCAGAACGAGGAAGAGATGTAACTTTGCGCATAAAATTCTTTCGCAGGGCCGCAAGCTCTACTACAGCTCTCGCCTGCGGAGCCTCGATGCTCGACCGCGTGTGCGTCGTCGGTAGCAGCGGCGTGGTTCGCTGGTCAAAGGAGTGGGCGCCCGCAGACGGCGGCGGCGACATCGTCGGCGAGCTCATCTGCCGCGTGCTTCTCGAGGAGCGCGCCGCAGCGTATGGCGGCGGCGGCGGCGGCGTGGGCCTCTACTCCGACGGCAAGGCGACGGTGCGGTGGGTTGTGCTCAACGAGGCGAACCTGCTGGTGGCGGCGGTGCACCAGGCGAGCCTGGTCCTGCCGTACGTGGAGGCGCTGCTCCGCGAGACGGCCGGCGCGTTTGCGGCGCGGCAGCAGGCACTCCCGCCCGAGGCCCACGACGGCCTCTTCCCTTGCGACGCCTTCTCGCCCGCCTTTGACGCGCTGGTGGCGGCGGCGGAGGAGCGGGCGGCCGGCGAGAAGCGAGCTGCCCGCAAGCAGCGCACCTTTGCCGAGAGCAAAAAGCACGAGGCGGCGCCCAGAGGCGTGGCGGCCTGTGAACCGCGTCTCTTCACGGGCTCACGGTGTGAACAGGTACGAGGCGACGCGCAAGGCGCAGCGCGAGGAGGCGCTCGGTCACCGGCGCGGCGGCGGCGAGGCGGCGGCGCCCGCCGGAGGAGTGACGCCGGCTGCGGAGGAGGGAGGGGGGTTTGAGGAGGCGGCGGAGGCGGAGGCTGCCGCCGCCGCAGCCTCGGAGGGCGGGCTGAGTGCTGAGGAGATCGCAGCCAACTTGGTGCGGCTCAAGAAGGCGGGGCGCGGCGGGCGCGGCGGGCGCGGCGGGCGCGGCGGCAGGGAGAGGGAGGGCAAGGAGAAGGAGGCGCGGTCGTGGGACGGCGGGCCGGCGCCGGCGAAGCTCGACTTTTCGTCGGACAAGGGGGCGGGCGCGCGCGCGGCCGTCAAGGTGTACGAGGGAGGGCGCGTCGACCTCGACCAGGCGTTCGGCGTCGGCGCGGCGCCGCCCGCCGAGGGGACCACCTCCTTTCTTGGCGGCGCCTGAGCCAGCTGGTCGGGGAGGGGGCAGTCCACATGACACGCCAGGGGGACGTGTCCGGGACACGTCCGTAGGCACGCTGAGCAAGCTGGTCGGAGGCGGGCCGGTGACGGCGGAGGCGATGGCGCCCGTGCTCAAGGCGCTGCTCGACCGGCTGGTGGAGAAGAACGTGGCGCAGGAGGTCGGCGCCAAGGTGATCGACGCGGTGGGCGCGTCGCTGGTCGGCGCGTCGCTCCCCACCTTCGGCTCGCTCGCCAGTACCGTCAAGGCGGCGATGGCGGAGGCGTTCGGGCGCGTGCTCACCTCGCCGTCGAGATTGGGCCGAGATGACCCGAGATTGGCCGAGCCTAGGCGCTCGGGCGCGTGCTTACCCCGTCGCGCCGCGTCGACCTGCTGCACGACATCTCGACGGCGAGATACAGCCGAGATACAGCCGAGATACAGCCGAGATGCAGCCGAGAGGTAGCCGAGATGCAGCCGAGAGGTAGCCGAGAGGTAGCCGAGAGGTAGCCGAGATGCAGCCGAGAGGTAGCCGAGAGGTAGCCGAGAGGTAGCCGAGAGGTAGCCGAGAGGCAGCCGACCTGCTGCACGACGTCTCGACGGTCGCTGCGGCGGCAAGCGGCCGTGCGTTGTGGTCTTTATTACTTGACGAGGTGCTCATTGGTTCATCAATAGGCGCGCGGCGGCAAGCGGCCGTACGTGGTGGTGTTTGTGGGCGTCAACGGCGTCGGCAAGAGCACTTCGCTCTCCAAGGTTGCCTACTACATCAAGTCGAACGGTCTCGTGCCGCTCCTCTGCGTTTGCGACACTTTCCTTAGTTGTTGATCTGTAATGACCATTCAACAGGCTTCGTGCCGCTCCTCTGCGCTTGCGACACCTTCCGCTCCGGCGCCGTCGAGCAATTGCGCGTCCACGCCCAAGCGCTCGACGTGCCCCTCTTCCAAAAGGGGTACGGCAACGACGCGGCGCAGATCGCTGCCGACGGCATCGCGCACGCGCAGGCGATGGGCGCAACGCGGCGCCTCGTCGACACGGCCGGCTGACTAGTGAGTGAGTACTTGTGAGTGAACAGGCGATGGGGTATGACGCGGTGCTCGTCGACACGGCCGGCCGGATGCAGGACAACGAGCCGCTCATGCGCGCGCTCGCCAAGCTGGTGGCCGCCAGCGACTCGCCCTCGCCGCCCTCGTCGGCGGGGCACCCCTTCCTCAGTGAGTGGCGCATGAGCAGGTGCATGTCAACTCGCCCGACCTCGTCCTCTTCGTCGGCGAGGCGCTGGCCGGCAACGACGCCGTCGACCAGGCGGCCGGATGCAAACACGCGATCGCGTGAACCTCGGCCCCACGCGTCCTTTTGGCGCACCCGCCGTGGACGCTTGTCTGTTTTCGTCGGCCAGGTGACCGGCTTCAACGCGTCGCTCGCCCAGTACGCGGGCGGCAAGGCGCCGCGGCTGATCGACGGTGTCATCCTCACCAAGTTTGACACGATCAACGACAAGGTGGGCGCCGCCCTCAACCTCGTCTACACGACGGGCAAGCCCGTCGTTTTCGTCGGCGTCGGGCAGACGTACGAGGACATCCGCAACCTCAACGTCGAGCACGTGGTGCGTGCACTCACCGGCTGAGGCCGGCTGGGCGGTGGATGGCGGAGTCGAGGTGATTGCCAGCGGAGGAGAGCACGGTTCGCCGACAAGGGGAAGCTAGGGCGACCTATACTAGGACCTATACACCTGAGCGCGTCGCCGAGCAGCCCCTTGCTTGGCCACGCCAAAGTCGCGCAGCTGAAGCAATAACGCAGACCTTAATGGTCGTGAGGGTGACATTTCACCTTTCGCCCCGTCCTCACGCGAATTTTGACATTTTTGAATCCGCCGTCGGAGCAAGATATTACGCCGCCTGCTTGAAGTCCAGCCAAATAGCAGCGTTCCGGCGCCGAAAAGGCCAGCCAGAGTCCACACCCCTCTAGGGACGATTGTTTATGGCGCGTTCGATCATCCTGCTCGCGGGACTGCTGGCGGTCGGCTGCGCTGCCCTGTCGGCTGCCCAGGCACAGCCCAGGGCGGAGCTGCTCGACGAGCCAGAGCAGGTCCTGACCGTGCGCTCGGACACAGGCTACAACTCGCCAGACGTGCTGCGCAAGCTGCAAGAGATGGACCCTGAGGTGGAGCGCTTCGCTGGGTACATCGCAACCGTCTCGCCCGCCATCTTTGCCACCTATGCCCTTGTCGGCTCGCTGGGCTGCTTCCTCATGTTTTGCTTTACCTGTGCCTTCACCGCATGCTGCACGGTCGCGCTGCTGCCGTACGAGATCTGCACGGGGAACAGCTGCTGCCCGTGCCTTCCCTGCCTGTGAGTGGACGCTCTATTGGCCCCGCGTGCGGCTGGCCCACGCACGTTATTGGTCGGCTACCTCGCAATGCGGCGTTCGGCGATGTAGTGTCCGGAAGCTAGCTGCAGCTCAGGGGGAGGCTGCAGCTTGCTTTGTCCGGCCGGGGAAGAGTTGGGTGGAGGATATTGCGCCAGTTGCCGCTAGAGCAACCACAAAAACAGAGGGAGAAATTGTGATGCAGACGATGGAAACAATTTGAGTGCGCCGAGACACAGTCAGGCAGAGACTGCGGGGCACACGGGCAGAGCGGCAGACGCGGCCAGAGGGTGCGTGTTGTGTTGAGAACAGTGTTGTAGAATCCTCTAACAGCCTGACGCAACATGTACGCGCGCGCAGCCGAGGCAGCAACGTTAGCATCGGGCGCATGATGAACCTCAGAGGGCGATGTACTGCCGCGAGGTGCGGCCGTTGTTGACGGCCCCGAAAGAGCGGCGCCGCAGCGCCACAGCAAGCGCCACGGCGCCCCCGGCACAGACTGCGATCCACGAGGCGCGCGCGGGCGGCGGCGCCTCGAGAGTCGGCCCCTCGCCCGGCTTGTCGCCCGCCACCGTCTCCACGAGGAGCTCGGGCGGCGTCATGGCCGCGCCGCTGGTGGCAACGGGGGCGGCGGCGGCCGCGACGCCCACAGAGCGAGCCGCCGCCATAGCAGGGGTGAGGCGGCCGGCGGCGGCGGCGACGGCGGGGCCCATTGCGGCCTTCTCGACTGGCGCATGCCCTGGAGCGGCCTGCAGGAGCGTGTCACCGTTCTGGGCGAAGATGGCGTCGGCAGGCGGACCCGACTGCCAGCGGTAGGTGTGAATCGCGTGGGCCGGCAGCGAGTGCTTGGCCGCGAGGCCGAGCGCCTGCAGGAAGGTTCCGAGAAGGTTCCGAGAGGGTTCCGAGGAGGCTGCGGGAAGGGGTCGGGAGAGGAGAGGAGTGCGCTTGGCGCGAGAGGCGGCGCGCGCCTCATCCTTGAGCGTGAACTCCACAGGGTCGTCGTTTGTGTTCATCGCCACGACGGCAACCGTCCCGTCTGGGTTGTGGAAGCCGACGGCGTCGAAGTGCGGCAGCTTTGGGATCTGAGGCGCGGGGCGGGGCGTCGTCACGAGGGGAAACTTCACAGAAGCGATCAACGAGGCGGAGCGTCATCATGAGGGAAAGAGTGGATCACTAGCAGCGACTAACGAGGCTCCTGAGGCGCGAGGCAGAGCTTCGCGTCGGCCGTCCCAACCGTGAAGGAACTCTCCAGCAGCGACTCGCCCTCCCCTGCGCACAGCTAGACGCGTTAATGGCGCCTCCTCGCAGCGTTCGAACGTGCAGCACCCGCCCTCTCCGTCGCCGCCGAGCAGGAAGGTCTGGTTGCTAGTGCCGTCACTGAGGCAAGGCGCCAGCTGCGCGGCGATCACCTCGAGGCCGGCGTCGAGGTCGACCGCCCACCTGTATCACGGCGGACGGCGTGAAGAGTCGCCGCTCACGCTCACAGCCGGTGGGCGAGAGCGCCGCGCACCCCTCCGCTTTGACGGCGGTGAGGCAGCCCTTCACCTCTCCTCCGCCGGCCCCTTTGGGCGACCCGCGCACCTCGAGCTTGTACCCACCCTTCACCTGCGGACGTGTCGACGCGACGTGTCGTGGACGAGTCTCGGACGCGCGCACGACGCGTCTCGGACGCCCGACGGGGCACGCCGCCACGCACCGACTGCACGTCCCACTTCTGGTTCCCGCGCCCGCCGTGGTCCGCCTGTTTTCACAGCTGCACGCGTGAAGAGACGCGACGCACGCGCCCTCCTGTCTGCCCCGCCCCGTGGCCCGCCTCGCCGCCGTCGCCGCACGCCCACAGCTGCACCTTCGGGAACCAGCATCCCGGCATGATGCAGAGCTCGACGCACTCGCCGCCGCGCTGGTACCCGTCCGAGCCGGGCGCCTACGCCCGAACTGCTACCATCAAAGACACAGGAAACCGGTGGCCGGCGGGACCCGTCCGAAGCTGGTGCATCGTCGGTCCCCGCCGCAATCAGCGAGGCCGCAATCTTGTCGCCGGGCGTGGAACTGCTGGCGAAGCGGAACTGCTGCACCGCGCTGTCCGCGTCGCACGGCTCGAAGAGCAGCGCCGCTCCTGCGCCGCGGAACCCTTGTCACGCTCGCCTCTCGCTCGAGATGGGCCGAGATGGCCCCAGATTGCCCGAGACGGCCCCAGATTGCCCGAGACGGCCCCAGATTGCCCGAGACGAGCTCGTCCGCCACTCCGCACCGTGACACGCCGAGCCCCAGGCCCCAGGCCGTGGGGGGGGTGGGGGGGTGGAGGCTCTTCTCTCGAGTCTTGAAACTGGAGCGGGGGAGAGAGCAGGCAGGGGGCGCGACGCGCCGTTTTTGATGTCGCCGGCGGCCACCTGCGGGATCTCGACCTCGACTGTGTTTGAGACCTGAACCCGCTTGGCGCCCGGGACGAGGTAGCGCGAGAAGTGGCCCATGTAGTAGTAGGACGCCTGCTCGACCCGCAGCGCAGTGATTCCTGGACTCATCGATGACGCCTGCCCGTAGGGAGCGGGAGGCCTGCTTGATCAGCGGCTGGCCGCCCTTGTCTCCGGCGGCGTCCTGGATCATGTTTGCGTCGCAGAGGTTCTTGAGGTGGTTCGGTCCGCCGTTCACGTCCACGAGCAAGTTCCTGCGTCGTGGGCACTCCAGCGTCGGGGCGTGGATGCGGCGCCGCGCAGTGAGCCGAGCACGTCGCTGGAGGCAGCGGAGTGCGGCCGACTGCGATATATTTGTGTATATGTCCGGGGGGCCTGTGTGCTCGAGAGGAGAAGGGGGGTGGAGTGGAGACGGGGATCTGTGTTCCGCATCTCGAGGCGAGTTGCCAGTCGATCCAGCCGACGGCCCATCTCTCCCCAGCTCTCCCCAGATCTCGGCTAGATCTCGCCAGTCGATCCAGCCGACGGCCCACCACTTGAGGTCCTCAAGGATGTCGAGCGAGAGGCGCTCCTGTTTGAGGAGGAGCGGCCACCAGTCAGGAGCCGTCGGCGGACGGCCTCGCGGGACGGTCGAGGGAGAGGCGCCGCGCGAGTCCACCATGACGAAACTCCGTCCTGCTGCAGCACGACGTGGCCGACGCAGTTGCACGCCTAAGAGTGCAGCGGGCGGAGGGCTGAGTACGGCCGCAACACAGCGAGGTGCAACCCGCGGGCGTGTGGGCTGAAGTGCTGGTCGGAAGGATCCGCAAGGAATGAGCTCTGGCCTCGCGCCTCCGAGCCGAGGATCAAGCTTAATTCAGTGAGTAAGTGAGGAAGTGAGAGCCAGGAATGACTCCTCGCGCCTCCGAGCCGAGGATCGACTTAGTCGGGTCCACCTCGTGCGCCTGCTCGGCGACACCGCCGAGATGTGGCCGAGATCTGGTCGAGGGTCGGCTTCGTCGGCGCCAGCCTCGCGGTGCCTTTTGCAGGTTCTCCGTGTTGAGCCCCCCGTACCAGTGCACCGCCACGCCTAACACACTCAACCAGCGGGGGGGGTCCTCAGTCCCCAGTCACTGGGGCGCCGTACCAGCGCAGTGGCCACGCCGGTGAAGTAGTCCGCCGCGGTCTTATTCTTGTACAGCCCGTCCGCCCACTCGGCGACGTGGTCCTGATCACAGCCCTCGGGTGGATGCGGCCGCCTCCTCTCTTCTCCCGGCGCCGCCCCCCCTCGGCGGCGGCGCGGGCCTTGTTGTGGTCGAAGCCGAAGATCTTGATCTCGGGGTGCGTCGCCTTGAGAGTGGGGCCGAGGTGCTCCGCCACAAACTTAGCCATGTACCTACGACCACCAGCCTCCATGCGTCCCTCCCTCGCTTTCAGCGCTGCCCCGCCTCCAGCGCGGCGCTCTACTCTGGCGTCCAAAGGCAGCTCTCCCAGCCGGGCGAGGCCTCGGGCTCGTTTTGCACCGTCACCGCCCAGAGCGAGTCGACGCCTCGCGCCTACGGGACGGCGCGTGCACCGCTCCGCTGGCACCTCCACCCCCCGCGCGACGCCTCGCTGCCTCGCAGCCTTGTACGCGGCCAGCCACTTTCCAAAGTAGTTTGCCCACGACGCCTGGTAGTCTGGGTCGAGGCCGAAGGGCTTGGCGGAGCCCGTCATCGTGCGGATGCCCTCGCCGGGGTCGCCGTACACGCCCTTCATCGGCAGCTTCATCCACGCCGGGGGCGACCACGCCGAGCCCAGCAGCTTGAGCTTGAGGCCTCGGACGCCGTGCGATTCGCCGCGCGCCTCGACGGCGGCCTCCGCGGCGAGG